TCACAAAAATTGCTATGAAAGATATATACCAAATATCAAGATTTAAACATTTTTATGTCATTCTCCGAATAGTTTTCTCAAAGTCTGATAAAATTCCTCTATTGAAGCATCGTCAAAGGATGTTGAAAGCACGCACAGAGTACGATATAACAAACGATTTAACGATTGTTCGATCGATGAATAACATGGAGCTCGTTAAACGGCGAATTATATTCAATAACGTGAACACGATAGCGTGTCTCGTTGGAGACTGGCCTCCTCGCTTCCTTTTTTTTTTCCTTTTCTTTTTCCGTTCATCCGACGAGAATTTCTGCGATTTCCCTCTCTTTTTCTCCGGCTCTCTCCTCGATGCATCCACCATTATTCCGGCGTTAGGCAAATACACGAGGAGAGACGACAAGCTCGTCCGCGCGGTTTTTGCCTCGTGAAAATTCAAATGAGACGGCGCGGCATATTGCGCTGAATCGAAATTAATGTCGCGCAACTAATTATCGGTCGAGTCATCATCGTCTCGTATCAGCTGGTTGCTGGCTCGTTCCATCGTTTCGAAACGTGTCTCCATAAGTTTCTACATCGCCGAGGAACGTGTGTGTGTGTAGGCCTGCTAATTTTCATCGCGACGATCTTTAATTAAATCGCTTAACGAGCGTGACCTTTTCATTTTTTAATCGCGATCGTTCTCTCGTACTCGTGGGAGAAGATACTTTTTCCTTTTGGAAAGTGCAAAGATGTTTTTTTCATAGAATATATTAATCTGATACTTTAGTTCAATGTTAATAATATTCTATAAATTAAATTCTAAAAGGTGTGCTGTGAATATTTCCAAAATTCTGTATACGATATATTAGGAGAATGGTTGAAATGATGAAATGATTTATTTTATCTAGGAATTATCATTCAAAGGGAAAGGATCGTTTTATATTTTGTTAATTTTTGTTAATGTGTTTTATGAAACTTCTGTTTCCCAGAGTAAATTCATCGTCGTCTGCTGTTTTAATTTGTCATTCTCCGTAATTATCGGCAGCTGTTTCCCACATGTAACATAAATATTCGTTTTATAGAAATCTTATCTACAAAGTAACGTTTGAATTTTTACATGCACTTTTTTTACAATTTACGATTGCTTGAATTTCTAGTTTTTACGGTCTCTCGTTTTATCGCTACATTCGATTCGTATTTCCATTAATTACGAATTGTAATTTGTACGCTTTATAATCATGTTTGCTCTAAATAATTGCGTCGTTACAATTGGAACATTACAATTAAAGTATAAATTTCGTATCAGAGGCATTGAAGTGAAAGCTGCAATTACAAGGATAATACATTTCACAAAAAAAATCATTCGAATTTGTAAAGTCTAGAAAATTTTTATGAAATATTACGAATCGGCCACCTTGGTAATTCTAGCGTCAATATTATTAGTTATTAATATTTTGCATACGTACAAGTGCTCTCTCCAAATTTCCACCATGTTTTACAAAGCATGAAAAGTACACGTCCCTCTGCAAATTGACTCGTTGAAATCACCGACAATGAATTCCAGCGAATCCACCGAGAAATTCTTTATTCACGTATGTTTGTCAACATCTGAAGGAGATGTTCCGCGACGATCAATGCGCGTATCTCGCGGGAATTTTTCAAGGCGTTATCGATCATAGGCGACGCGAGATGCCGGCGTGATGCACGAGCATCAGGAACCACGCCAGGATCCGGCGAACAATTGCCGGGCAAAAAGCTGGAGCCGGTGCGCGGCAAGAAATTTCTAATTTGCGGTATAATTAAGGGAGACGGGGCAAAAACCACCACGGATTCTACACCGTTGTCGGAAAATCGCGAATTCCACCTTGCGAGCACGCCGCCACCCCCCCCCCCTCACCGCCCCACGATCGTAGACCGTTTGATTTTATCTGCGTGTTATCCGCTCCATAGTCGAGTGATTGTTGAGTAAATAATTAATTGGACGTCGTTTAAACATTAAAAAGGAGAAACGCGCACGAATAATTAATAATGGGACACTGGCAGCTTTTTGCGGGAAATCTTTGCAACGCGGTTTATTTATTACGCGGTTCCAGGCTTTGATGAAATATTTATACGTACGAGAGAGAAGAAATTTTATTAACCGCGTTAATTAACTTTTTTTTACTAATATAGCAGCGTAAGCTACTATCTTACTAGCTACTTTTTTCTTTTCTTTCTTTTCTCTCTCTTTTTTTTTTAGTTATTGTTCGATTACCGTGGATTTTTATGAAAACTTATATTTCTTGAGAATAAGACCATTTAAAAGGAGATAGAAAATTGTTTCGTGTATTGTGCGCACTTTCTGAGATTTTGCATTTTAAGATTTCTTGAAAATCCGTACGCTGCTTGTCATCGTATTTAGTTGCTTCGTTACAGTATTGTGGAATATTCTGTATTTAATTTTAAGAATGGGAAATGCGTTTTAAAGGTATAAGTGTGTTTGCAATTAGAAACAGAAAAAGAAACTATTTTAGGATATTTTTTTTGCGTCTGTTCTTTTACGTTTGCTCGTTCATGTTTCTAACTCGATCGATTACAAGGGAATGAAGAAACGTGTTAACATGTTGGGAAATTTATTACAGGTACACCATCATAACAGCCGAGGAATGGGCGAAACTGATGCAGTTTTACGACGTCGATTATCCAATCATTATTAAAAAGGTCAATTCCGATTTCCAAACCGAACCTGGTAAGTACAAATCACTTGCACGACAAAAAAAAAAAAAAAA